GTTGAGCTTTCTACCTTTGTTTCTACATACAAAGAACTTAAGAGTTTTTCTTTGTGCAGATAGATTGTGTTTAGAATATAGAACATTTGGTCATGGTGATAGCATATGGATATAAATTAAATTATATATTTATTGGGGAGAATAATGCTATAAAGTAGGATGATCCCCATGTGATGTGAAGTGAAATAATCAGATCAATTAAATGTGAATATGAAAATATCTGGCTGATGAAGACTAGTAAATGATTTTCAGTAGTTAATATCTGTAGGAAATAATCGACTTTCATTTTCTAATGGGCCCTGAAATGAGGGGAAAGTTGTATGGTACACGATGAAAGTTTAACCGCAACAAGATTTAGCGGATCAATTATGCTACATGTACATTATTTTTACTTTATTTTTTACACCTTCACGTGATAATACATCATTGGACAATTTAAATTTTACCCAATTAGCATTTGACAACACTTATAATATCAACAAAAGAGTGTATAAATGACATTTGTTTTAGTAGATTGCAGTCGAGGAATTCATTTATTTTAACAATAAAGCCACGAGTATAGGAAAATTTTATCAGAATGTGTACTGATGCTGATGTGGCAAAATGTGATTGAACTGTTTTTTTTATCTTTCAATAATATCACGTCATGTGTTGTAAGGATTTTTCGTCAAAAAATTATGTACTTGTAGCATTATTGTTATTTTAATTTTGAAAGCGAGGTACAAATTAGCACTGATGGTAAGTGGTAATTTCAATCTCATGAAAGGAAGTTAAAACGGAATCATGATCTCAAGCATTTTTCGTCATGATGTGAGAAGTATTAATTTGTTTTCTTTAGATTAATTATAAATTAGTAATCAGGTGTCTTTGTGTGCATTTTCAAGAGATTATCCGTTTTTAAAGTGCATATTTTGCAATTCATGAGTATTTATAAATTTAGAGAGTAAAAAATTTTAAATATTTTAACCTACTTCTTATATTAAATATTTAATTATACTATTTTTAAAAGAATATTTATTTTTTTTTCATATATTTTATTTTTACTAACTTATCTCAAAAGAATTATATTTTTTTTCTCAATTGAAAATTGAAATATTTTGAATGTATTTAATTATCGAGAGGGTTTGGAGAGCCAAACCAACTCTCTATTCTAAAATGTTAAATTAGCCTTTGCTCGACAATTATTTTAAAATTTTTTTTTTCCAACTCATTTTCAAAATAAAATATTTTGCATGTAAACTCATAATTTTTTTCTACATTTTAATTATACATTCTTCAAGAAATCGATATTTCATAATTCATTATTCTGGAAAAATTATTTTTAATGGTTTTCA